AAAAAAAAAAAAAAAAACTAGAAATTTTAGTTTCAAAGGTTTGAACTTTTAATTAAAACTGCATGATTTTAATAATATTAATGAATAATTTAATGTTATTTTCCATAATTTATTCATGGTACTACCTCGCCAGATCGGATAGATTTTTGATCTTGACTGATCGTGTGATCTCAGATCAACACAGTTTTGTCATGCAAATCACCGAAATGATTAAAGTCGGACACTTTGTTTCGATGGACGTTCAAGTGAAAACGCTCGGCTAAGCTTCGTGTCTTTCGTACGACACGTTACAATTCAGTTGTTTTCGTAAAATCAGATAATGGATGACCGATGGGAAAGCGAGGTGATCGAGTACGGCGCCATCAACATCACCGGATTTCGAATCGTGGATGCTACACGACCCTACGTCAAAGATTTCCTGGCTGGTTGGCATCGTCTCGATCCGGCCACGTCTCAAGGAGCTGGCCGCGAATCCATTTCTGTACGTATGCTACACTTGTCTTTTCCTTGGCCACTATCTATTCGAATCTCACTGAAATTAACAATGGAAATCAAATATTAGAGTGAATACAAATCAGAATACTAGAATATTTTGTTAAAATAGATGACGTTTACGTGTTACGAAGTAACAGATAGAAGAAAGATTAAAAAGCAAATGACACAAGATAATTCATAATGTTACAAAGTGGAATTATATTTAACAAGAATAACGAATAAATGGTTGTTATTGATCTAGTATATTAATCCTAGTGTACTAATATTAATACTAGTTATTTTATCTAACATAAAAATTATATAACTTATTATCAATAAGTGTTCAACGTTTCTTAATCAATAACAATTGATGTATCCATGGTCTCATTTTCAGAGATTTCTTTTATATCACCAAAATTGTATATTTTTATACTGCGTAAGTCCTCGATAGATAATCTCATTTTTAATTTACCAAGTATTATCCCTGTTCCCTATCTCCAATAACACTGAACCCTAGTAGTATGTTTGATATCTGTCAAGCTGTAATCGTCTTTCCGAGAGGGAAATGCCTGTTCGAGTTCCATATGGGTTGTCGAGTACCATCGAGTATTCCAATTTTCTACCCTAAGCGAGTCTACTAAGGTTTCCGACTTGTTTTCGGATACTTAGCACGGTCAAGTGGACACGATTGGAAGACGCGAAAGGAGAAAGAAAATCAAACCCGATCCGTAACCCGACTTGCTGTTAGACAAAGAGACCATTGTCTGCAAACGAATCGACATGAGCTAAAAATCCCGTGCACGTGTAAATGATCTACATAAGAGAAAGAGGAAATTACTGACAATGAGGTATAGAAAGAGAATGAACATAATATCTAGACAGATTTAAATCTTTATGAATACTGCTACAGAAATAAAAATAACATTGAGATTTGCTTCATTTACTGGATGTTGTAAAAATGGGACTTTAAATTGTTCATTTTTAAAAATTCGCAGTTCTATCGACGTCTATAATTTTGTTTTCCGGTTCCTCGGTTAAATTTTTGACTTCTCCTAGTGTTTAACACGAGCAAGAAACGAAAATGGTATAGTTCTAGTGCAAAATGTTTTGTCGTGACAGCATTAAAAAAAAAATCTATGACCTAGAAAGTAAAGAGATTTGATGAGAATAAATGTTCGTTGAGAAATATTTAATTAAAAACTGTCAAAAATCCGACGAATATTACGACAATAAGAATTCAAAATTCGAATCGAGAGCGTGAAAAATTATTTAATCCGAGAAACGCTTTAAAACACTTTTCGGGATAAACTTTTCGGTTGATTGCCACTATAGTGAGTCACAAATATCGTGTAAATAAATGCAAATCGTCGACTTGTCGTACTTTTTCACGAGTGAAGGCAATTTTAGAA